TTCTAATGCTGCATAAAAGCCGTTTTTTCTCTGTAGAAATATGAAGATGCCCTGAAATTGATCCACACACAATTAGAGATAAAGGCAATGATAAAATAGCACCCAGACAGTATATGCTTCAATTCCTCGCGCACCTATGCACTGTTCTTCTTTGAAAACGGCAGGTAGTAAATCAAATGTTCTAGGAACCTTAAGCACTCTTCGATAAACTTGTACTCAGCAGCACTGCGATTAACGTTTGACCCGTAGTTTCTTTAAGGCTAGCGGAACAGTCTAAGTACACTGACCGACCTGTATGGTAGGCAGTGGCTTGTTAGTAAGTGCACAGAGACGACTCATCACTGCAAAATCCTTAAGCAGCACTTTCTCCCTTGCCATTGCATCCCCACCGTTTCCATTTGCTTTCAGCTAAACGACATCGTAAATGCTGTGCTCGGACATTCCGGCTGATTTCAGCTCAACTTTGAGCCTTCATTCCGATGACTGCTACTACTCACAAATGAAATGCTCGGTCATGCAAGCTTTCATCGGCCACAAATTAGCAGCAAACACAAGTTATAAGCATGAAAAGATCTGTTAATTTACCTGAGTGAGTCTATCAAGTTGTTTCTGATGTTGTCGATTAAGGAACGTGACGGCAACATCGGTGCATGTGGTACGAGCAAGTAGTAAGGAAGACATATTCAACACCTGCAATCATCTGGGATTCGGCACAGTTTGAAAAGCTATCATAACCAAAGCGTAATTACTGTAGGCATCTTGGCTTAGATCAGCTAACAGTCATCTATCAATGAAGATTGCATATATGTAAGTACCTGCATGATTTGGTTAATGAGAGTACGATTTGGAGAATGAAGAGAATTTGTGAATTTAAATAATTCAATTTAGTCTGTTCGTCCTCGCTGCGAGTATCTGGGTATTCTTGAATTTTCTGTGTAAGCATTACCCTCTTAACCGATAAAATTGAGAAAATACGGAAAATTGCATGGTCTACATTAAATAGATGTGTGACATGGTCTCGAATATTTATCGCTTAGTTGCAAGGCAAAAGAAGGAATCAGATACTGCTAGCCCTTTTTTGTGTGTCGATATCTGCAAGGTCTCTGCTGGCATTTATAGCTTTTAAGTTGGTGGCACTCAAAAAAAAAACAACTTTAATTACTTTTATATCTTTGAGGAGGTCGTCTTTGGCGTGCTGATGTGCAAATCTGCCTACAATTCTGTAAGCTTGTTTTTTTGAGCCCTAACCTCACAATGGTACTATAAAAAGAGATACCACTTGCAATTTCCACTGAGCCGAACGCTCAAATCTGCTTTTTTGCAGCTGAGAGATAGCTGTTAGGATCCAGAATTACTTAAGATAGTCATTTATAGACGAGTTCTACACCCCGTCAATAAAATAAATAAGGTCTGGAACAGTTTTGAGCATAAAAGAAAAGTAGTCGATGTAATATTTGAAAAAGAAAGTCTAAAAATTATACAAATTATCCCAAAAAATGCACAACTTTCTCAATAGAATTCTCCTCTCTGCAAAAATTCAGATGATTGGAAAAGCTAAAGCGAAGCTTGCAATGAGCCTAGGCTATCGATATTCAGGTTAAAAAAATAGCAGCTTAATTATATTACGTCTGTCGTTCATTCTAATTAATGAGCTTAGCACGCGTAGAAAATAGTCCAAAAAGTGCTATCAGAGGCTGCACAGTGAGGTTTTTTAACACAGCGTTTAGCTGCAAAACCAGGATGCCACGTTGAGAAGTTTCATC